TGTGTGTGTGTGTGTGTGTGTGTGTGTGTGTGTGTGTGTGTGTGTGTGTGTTGGTGTGTGCCCAGTGGCCTTGCCTGGAGGCTACCATGGACAGAAGAGCACTGCCCACTGAGCCAGTCCCTTCCACTCTGGGGTAGCTCTTGTCATGATCAAAGTACCCTTTCTGGAGGCCTGCAGAGGCCTTCCCCACGTCTGTCCCTGTCCCTCGTGAAAGACAAAGTCGCCTGGAAGAGGAGGCCACGGCCCCAGCCCAGCCTGAATCCAGGTCTGAGGCCCCGCTGAGGTCTCAATCAAGGCTGGAGAAGGAGGGAGCAGCATGGACCTTCTGGGGGAAGGCAGCTCCACTCTGGGAGAGCAGGGAGGAGGGCTTTATATGTAGAAGAGGAAGGACGGCCTTCACCGTAAAATGTCAATTACTGTAATTACTGCCTCACAGCATTCCCTGGTCCGTGTTCATTTTGGCGCAGACATGGACAGCCCCTGACAGAAGAGGTGAGTTCCCCAGCACCAAGGTCAGCAGCCCCAAAACAGCTGAATGAAGGAGGACCTGACAGACCCAGGAGCAATGGGAAGAAGCTGGGCAGAGCCAGGCTCTGTGTCAGGAAGGACTCGCTGAAGATCAGAGCTGGGAGACAGCAGAACAGGCAGCCCCAGGAGGTAGTGAGCTCCCCATCCTGGCAGGCCTTCAGGAAGAGACTGGACGAGCCCGTGATGGGACGGACGTATCGAGGATCCCTGTTGACATCCAGGCTGGTTTCCCAGCTCTGAGACCATGGGGGTCTGTGGTCCTGGGATGCTCACCAAGTGCTCTGTCTCTGAGTAAGTGGACAGAGCAGCTGCCCTGGCATCATTAGAGAACCATTCTCCCCAGGAACATCCTCTCCTGAACCTCCTTCACATAAGAGGAGGAGGCTGGAATCACTCTCCAAGGCTCCTTCCAGCTGAAATCCTGCAAGCCAGTGACTCTGGGGCCCACGCCAACATCCCTCAGGAAACGTCACCGAAGTCCTTTCTACTGTAGCTTCTGCCCTCTTCTTGTTTGGCCCATAGAGGCTGGGGCCCCCACGCAACCGTGACGATCTTCCTGGGCATCAGATGGGGGAACCCTGAGCTCTTGGCCATGACGCCCAGCCCCAGCAGTCCTGTGGAAGACCTGGGTCTCTCCAGGTGTCTGGGACCATTTCCAGCTCGGTCTTTGTGCCTTTTTCCTTCATCTGTCCACCATCTCTCGTCAGGACCACCCTCAGGTGAAGCTTCTCTTGCAGACATCCAAGCTGACCAAGAACACACTGAAGACGATGGAGGAGTTGGGCTCTAGGCAGCTGCCAGGCTCAAGGTGGGTCATCTGAGTCCCCAGAACACAGCCCAAGAAACAGATCCATGGAACTGGTGAGGCAGGAGCTGAGCCATCCAGGTCATAGAGCCAGGGATGGGAGGGTGTCCTCTGAGCCATGGCCAGGATGTGTCCCCAGAGTTTCTGGCATTAACAGTGAAGGTGTGCCAACCCTGCCCCGACAGCTCTGGGAAGATCAAGAACGTGGTCCTTCCCCCCCACCCCAATCAATAATGTGCTGCATGAAGAGCCAGGAGGCCCTGGCACCCGGGCCAGTGCGCACATAGCCCAGACCCCCACCATTAGAGAGAAGCCTTTGAGAGCTCTACCTAACTCTGGCGAGGTTCATGCGCATGAACTCTTGTGCCCAGGCTCTGGGCCCTTCTGAGAGCTGGAAACCACCCAGGAGCACAGCCAACATTGGGGGGAGGGGGCCAGGGACCACACCCCATGAGGGGCCATTGAAGGAGGTGGGGATGATGAGAAGATGTGGGGGCCCTGGGAACTGTCTTCAGGTTCTGAAGGACTGCCCCGAGGAAGCAGAATCATCTGGTTCTGTCTGGCACCTGGGGCTGAGCCAGGACCTAGAGTTCTGCAGTCTGATCTAGGCTTCAGATCACCATGAGGATGGATGGTCCAAGAGTGCAGCGGAGGCAGAATGTCCCACACATACACACAGTAGAAGCCTTCATGCCAAGCCTCAGTGACCTCCACACACACACTGGAAGCCTTCATACTAAGCCTGGGTGTCCCCCCCGCCAGAAGCCTTCACACCAAGCCTGGGTGACCCTTTCAGAAGGTGTGGGGCTCTCGCCTGCAGTGCCCCTGAGGTCCCTGCCCATCTGAGCAGCTGGCATTCTGTGCTGCAGGCATGCCTGTCAGCACCTCCTTCAAGGGGCCTCGGGGCAGCTCATCCCACCCAAAGCCCTTGACAAACCACAAGGACTTCTCCTTATTATCACCTTCTTCCTAATATAGGATGTTTTAATTAAATGCCAGGGTCCCAAGCAGGAGGGGGCTAAGAGACTTGGAGGGAGGGACAGGCAAGCACCAAAAGGAGAAGATGGGACAGCAGGGACATGGGATCATGCCTCAGACTAAGGTGAGAATGTGGCCATACCTCAGTTTCCTCATCTGTAACACGGGGAGAAGAATTTCCCCCTCCTGAGATGCACAAAGATGGCGTGGGAATGAATGAATTCACACATGGAAGTGCAGCTCTGAGCACATTGGTCCCCTCGAGCCCCTGCCCCAGGCGCCTCCCCCAGCCCTGGTTGCTCCCAGCCCCTACTTACATAAGCAGCCAGGATGGTCCTCTGGGCCAGGATGGTGGCCAGGTAGAGGCAGGGGGCAGAGGCCAGCATGCTGCCAGCACAGACCAGTGGCTCAGCATTTGGGGTGAGCTTCTTGTACCTTCTTGCTATCTCTGCACCTATGAGGACCCCGATGATCCCTGTCACGATGGTCAGCGCCCCAAAAATTAGGCTGATGGGAGAAGCACAGGAGGCTCTGTTAGCCGGAGGGCTCAGGACAGTGGTCCATCCAGGCAGGCGTGGGGGGTGGTTACACTGGGAGCAAACTCCGAAAGGGATGCTGAGCCGTGCTAGCAGCCTGCCTTCTGTGGCAAAGTGGAAAGAGGCTGCGCTTGGGAGCCTGGGGAGACTGGTAATCAGTCCCATCTCTGGTACTTCCTATGTGATCTCACACAAGTCACTTCTCAGAGACTCAGTTTTCTCATCTGTAAAATGGGAATCACCTCTACACACATCGCCTCACAGAGCCATTAGGAGAAAAGCCAGTAGAAATGTGAGGCAGCATTGTCATCCTTGCTCCCACCCTCCCTCTCTTATCACACCCCCAAGCCAGGGTTCTGGCCACTGTTGTGGGAGTGAAGAAGACAGAAGCCCTGGGGGCTCTCCAGTCCAGCAGCCATAGAGCCGCCCCATGGCAGACAACCTGAACGTTTCTCCCGCTTGGATGACAAATTCTTTTTCAGCTGAAGACTCTAACCACATCCCTCCCCTCAGGAGGCAAATGTACTTTGGGACGACTAGACAGGTAAGCCCCTCCCCATTATGGTCGCAGTGTCCAAACCACTCAGGACTACATCGGGAAGCAGCGTGAGGATCCCTGTCCCTGCCATGTCATGGCTGTGGTCCGTTATTCCTGAAGTTGCACAGGTCCTGTGAGCAAGCCTCTTCTCTTCCCAAGAGACTCTCTGTGCGAGACATCCCCTTCTCTTTCCAGAAGGCCGGGTCGCTGGGCTCCCCAGCTTTTGGATGCTTCCTGCCCAAGAAAACTCCCTTCGCTGGTCAGAAGCCCAGGTTCTTATAGGAAGTGGGGGTTTGGAAATGGCATTGTCCATTAATCCCCCTGTCAGGCCACATGGACAAGCATCCATTGGCCTTTCCTCCAAGGCTGTCATACGCTTCTGTAGCGGTTCGTGGTACTCTGCTACTGCCCCTGTGGCAGCCAGCTATCTCTTGGATTGGCAAAGTCCACTCTCTCCTCCTGAGCTACCCCTAACGTGACTCCCAAAGCAGGAGCTGCCCAGCGCGTCTCCTTTCTCTGACAGCAGACCAGATTCTGAGATCATTTCATTGAGAATCCAAAGTCCTCATTCCTCAACATAGAAGGGTGGGCTCAGAAGCCATGTCTTGGACCTCCCTTTTCAGGACATATGCAAGCACATACTTCCCATGGCCATGTGCTCTTGCTGTAAGGCTAGATTGTGTAGCTTTATAGGCCATTTCCAGCTCCCAGGGAGGAACAGGCTAGGGACAGAACTATAAATGGACTACAGAAACCATGGTGGAATGGAGACAAGAGATTCCCTTTCCCGGTCTTGTTGTAAACCATACATTACAGAAGTTCCCAATTTCTCGTACAAATCTCTTTCATGCTCTTCTCTGTTGATTTTTAATTTTGATAAAAATTTAGTGGAAATTTAGTTTAATAAAAAACAGAAAGAAAGCATAAGGGAAGAGGCAAAGAGTCCTCAAGAGAGCACCCAAAGTATGATCAGATTACATTTCTAAGCCATGAAGAGGGGCTCACATTCAGTTTGCCAATCATACTGGAATTCATCCCTCCCCAAGGAGGTGAGAGACTCCTCCCAGTACCTCCACTTAAGGAGGCTTCCCAGGCTAGCCCTCTCTTCCTTTTTCACTCACATCACACCCCATGCTCAGTTCCTTCCTCCTCCCCCTTATCTACCTCCTTTTATGTGTTGTCCTCCCTCATTAGAATGTAAGCTCATTGAGAGCAAGGACTGTCATCTTCGTCATCTTCTTATTCTGCTTCTCCTCCTCCTCCTTCTTCTTCCTTCCTTCCTTCCTTCCTTTCTTTCTTTCTTTCTTTTCTTCTTCTTCTTCTTCTTCTTCTTCTTCTTCTTCTTCTTCTTCTTCTTCTTCTTCTTCTTCTTCTTCTTCTTCTTCTCCTTCTTCTCTGTCCTTGTATTTCTATTGCCAGTATTTAGCACAGTGTTTGGCACACAGTAAGTACTTAATTAATGTTTGTTGACTGACTAATCAATCACTAGGAGTTTCCTATGTGCCATCAGTTTGATCAGTGACTTCTCTGTGTCCCTTGTTCTCTACCTTCCTCAAGTTGGTTGGGGAACTCCTCAATGTCACCAAGGTTTCACTTGATCAACCCCCCTCATATATGTGGAAAAGCATCCTAACAGTTAGAGACACCCCAAATGGCATGGGCTGCCCCTTGGGTGGTTGTCAATACAGAGATTGTCAGCTTGGTTTGAGGTGAGCTTGATGACTCCAAAGGTCCCATCCAACTCAATGACTGTGTGACTCTGTATGTATCCACCGTGGGGAGGCTTAAGGGGCAATTAGGATCATAGAACCAGAGACACAGAGCCAGAAGGGACCTTCAAGGACACCCAGTCTACCCCCTCCCATTTTACAGATGAAGAAGCTGAGGCCCAAAGACCTATCATGAGCTGTCCAAGTTCACACGCGTAGTAAACATCTGAACCCAGTAAGGAAGGAAGGATTTGAACTGGGGTCCTTGGACACTGAATCCAGCAATCGCTCCAGGATACTGCCTCCCAACTTGTGGTCAGACCATGACAAACAAATGGTGGGTCATCCCGGGGTTGATGGCACCCCCTTACCCTTGGGCCAGGATCTCGGCTGCCTTGCCTCAGCCATGACGTCCTCTTGCGTACCCATCCCTGTGGAATGTCTGCCTGAGCTATGGCCCCAGAAGAGGTCCCCTCTGACCCATGACCACCACCAATACCTCCATGGTCCTGGCAAAGTAGCAATGTTCTTGGTCACACAGCTGTCATTGCCCAGACCAAGAGCACAGTGGCCTCCCAACCAGTCTCTGCTCTGGCCCAGACCTACTCCTCAGTTTCCTCCTCTGTAAAATGAGCCGGAGAAGGAAATGGCAAATCACTCCAGTATCTCTGCCTAAAGACCGCCCAGTGGTGTCATGGAGAGTCAAGCATGACCGAACAACAACACGCCTGCCCCCATGCGACCCATGCCTGTCCCCAGTGGCGGTGAAGGGGCAGGAATAGGTCTTCATTAAAGAAGTTCCTTCTGGGAACTGGAAGTAGCCACGGTCACAGCCAACATGGCCTTGCAGCCCCTGGAGCGTCCCCCCCCCCCGTCGAGCCCTCCCCTCCGCAGCTCGTTACTCTGATTGTTTTCACATTCCATAGAGACAGAGTTGACATGCTGCCTGGGAGCATCCTGGGAGAGCTATTCATAGCCATCTGCCAAGGCATCCACTCCCTCTGGGGCAAGACTCTGCAGATGCCCCAGTTCTGCTCTAAGAAGGTCGGCTGACAGGGGAATCACTGTGGCTTTCTCTAGAAGCCCACTGTGGGACCCCAACCTCCAGATCTCACTGTCTCCTCAAGAAACAGAACTGGGGGCAAGCTGGCCCACAGGAATGGATATTCGGGCAGAGGACCAGCATGAGCTTGGGGTGGGTCTCATGGATACTGACAAAGGCTATATTGGTCTTCCTGTCCAAGACACTCACCCGTGGCTCTTTTATAAATCAAGCTAATGTCCCTGCTTTAGAAGAGGAGGGAAAGGGGGGGAGTGCCCTGCTAAATTCTGGCTTAGGAAAGGGGATGAGGGGTATCTGCACAGGCTGTAAGGAAGAATTCAAGGAGAAAAGTCAAGAGAGAGATCTTGAGGAGGAGGAGGGGAACATGACCCTGGTGCCCAGAGGTTGCCAAGAGGGGTATTTAGCTCACAACTTGTGAAATGCCCTCTTAGCAAGAGGAGAAGAAAGCAGAGTGCCACCCAACCCTCTCCCTGGTGAGGAGAGCCTTTCTGAGGAAATAGCCCCAAAAAGGAGCCCCAGAGGGTCCCAGGACTGTGGGGTCCCTGACCATGACCTCCAAAAAGAGCTAGAGCTTTACTCAGCACTGCCCAGGCTCCCCCCACCTACCCCCCCACCAGTCTGGAGTGTAGGAACTTGCCAGTGGGTATCATTGTGACACACAGGATGAGGACAGCTCCGCCTGGCAGAACACCTGAAACCATCCAGAGCCCTCTCCATACCTCTCCTCAATGGGTCCACCCAGCCCCCCCAGGCAGAAGATGTTACATACAGCTGGTGTTCTCCCTACTTGGAGAGGGGGAACTTCCATCTAGAGATGTACGGTGATTCCTCAGGATCATACAGCTGCTCCATGTCAGCCCTCTCTCTCCAGGACTGGTCTCTCCTGACTCCAGGACCCCTTCCACTGCCTTTTGGTCAGGCTTGCTCCTTGTGGCCTCCCAATACTGGGACATCACCATGGATTAGGGAGTCCCCCCCACAGACACTCTGCCTCTCATGCCAGCCTTCATTCCACCATCCCCACTGATCCTCTTGTCTTCAGCTCTGAGACTGTACCAGAGTCTGTCTGTTTGTCTCTGTCTCTCTCTCCTCTTTCTGTCTCTCCTCTCTCTCTCAATCTGTCATCTTTCCTCTTTTTCTCCCTCCCTCTCTCTTCCTCCATCCCCTTCTCTTTCTCCCTTTCTCTCTCTTCTTTCTGTCTCTTCATCTCTCTTTCTGTCTCTCCCTTCATCTGTCCTCTCTCCTTCTCTCTCTTCCTCCCCTCTGTCCTCTTTTCTCCCCTCTCCCTCTTCCCCCACCCCCCAGTTTCTTCTCCCCCATACACAGCCTCTCCTGTTCCCTGTTCAGTCTACAAACCACCAGAGCTCTCAAGCACACACTAAATGACTAAATGTTCACACTACTAGAGGTTCTTTCTGACACATGAATGCCTGTTTTCTGCAGTGACAAAGTCCCTCTGCCATCTTGGCATCTCTCTTCACATGCCCAGGGGCTGGTTTCTACCCTCACCCCTTTCCCCAGTGCCAGAGAAGACAGGAGCATCAAAGGAATGTCTAGTCCAAAAAGGAGACAGGCTCTGACTTTTAGCAGAAAGGTCAGAGAGCACGTGTATGTCCTGACAGGTCTGTAGACCAACAGACATAGTGGGGGAAGAAAAGTAA